AATATTTAGTTTTAATTTTTTGAGCTCTTTAAAAAAAAATAATGAATATCTTAAAACGTTAAAACTCTACCATCACTTTCTCTCTCTCTCTACCATATACACAAATTTAACTCGAGAATTCCTAATCAAATATTCAAAATAATACCATACTCAATGATAATACCGATTTTCTTTTCCCATGCATTTCGATATAATAGAATGACAACAGTAAGACAATAGTAGTTTTTAAGTGTATACTATGTACCGTATAAAAGAGTATCTGTAGACTTTCAAATAATGTCGTTGGATAATATGTAAAATTAGGTTTAACTATGAACAAAAAAAATTGTATTAACACTTAAATAGATACATCATACTGTCATATACTGTATTGGACATTATACATGATAAATTAATGTATTTGGCTATAAATTGTAAATTGTAGAACTAATAAGTAATAATATTCCTTTAACAACTCCATTCAATATGTTTAAATGTTTCCTTTTAAAATAATCAAATCTATTTACCCAACTATCAAAACCATAGATATATTCCTCGTATGTAAGTCGAATTAATATATATATATATAGTTGCTTATTGATTAATTAGATTATTTTAATTACAATCATACACAACACTTTATCAGTAAAATGTACTATCTACTTGTCCAATACTTATATGAAGTTTAATAGATCTTTGGGTTAATAATATTTTTGTTTAAATTTAACTTGAAAGAGTTATTTTAATAATATTCAGAAATTATAATCAGATTTGATTGGATTTGATGTAATAGTATTGTTTTTCAATATGTGATATTTTTAAGGCTTTATAAAACAGATATTTGTTTAAGGTTAAACCAAACCTATATTTTCTAATGTCAAGTTACCACGTTGTAAATAGTTATAGTAGATTACCAGAACAACGTATGGTGTTATTTCTACAACCATCTGAATTTATATCATTATTTGTATAATATAGGTAGGAATATTATATTTATTCTGAAGTTATAACTTTTAAATTAAAATGTATTACCTATATATTTTAGTCTTCGCCGTTTTGCAAATACTAATATTAAAATCGTGGTTGGTATATATACTAAAATCTAATAGCGAGCCTGTATCTGTATTCTGTTATATAACTTATATGCGCATACAATATGTATTACTATTTATATGTTATAGTTAAGGGGATTGGAAGCGGCGATTTTCTGTTTTGTCTACACACGTACAACATAGGATTATAGACGTGTTGTATGTCAAACATACCGATTGGAATACTGAAGTGATGAGAATTATGAAAACAGATTTGAATTTGTCGTCAAGTCTTTTTAAGATCGACCTTTCCACAGTTTTGATATTATCCCTAAAAATCCTATAAACGATACATTAAAATAGAGTAATTAAAAAACCGATATATTATTTAAGTTTTGGAGAAGATTAAATTAAAAAATCAAATATTTAGGAAGGTCGATTGCAAGAAGACTTGACGAAAAATTAAAATTTGTTCTCAAAATTCTTATTGTTACATTATATCAATCAGTTCGTTAGAATTAGAACACGTCTATAATCCTATGTTGTACGTGTGTTAGACAAAGACAGATAATCATCACCGCTTCCAATCCCCTTAACAAAATTGTATATTATTTTAAATAATTTCCTTTCACCATATGTGTTGATCACACATTATTAGTCATTAATCATTACACGTCATAAGACATGTATGGGTTAACAGTTGAATTAGCTCCGAATGATGGTGTTGGGTACTATATCGAATTAACTAAGCAGACAAGTAGTGTTGTCTCTAATCAGATATCAATGTTTTCTTCTTATATATTTTATTAAGATAGAGCCTCAATAGGCTCAATAGGGTAGTAGAGTAGAAAGGCATATGTAAATTGTATTTTTAGTGAGATCTGAAATTGGTTTTATTTATTTATTTGTTATAATAGCTGTAATGTTTTAATTCCGTTAAATAATTACTTTAATTTATATCTCTACCAAATCGGTAAGTTAAAATAGAAGTTCTGAAGTCTTAATTAAAAATCGACGTGCTAGCTAATGGGTTTGGCATTAACCACTTTTATAGTATAACAATACATATATATATATAAGTTCGAAATACTCAAAAATGACAGGGTAAAAATGGAACATTTATGCGAGTCTCGAAAAATGTATTGTTAATTTAAATGTGGGAAATCACCCTGCTATTACTTACATAAAATTGTGTATGAATAATTAAAAAAAAATTTAAATAAACTATACTTATCAGCATTACATAATTCTAAACATTTGTTGAATGCAATATTAACTAAGTACCTTGTACAATTTTGAATGATTTATGTTAAATTATGCTGTAACGCCTGATTAAAATTATTGTTGCTTCAATATTTTAATTTTAGTATTTTGTTTTTTTCATGAGTTTTAATTGTTTTCATATAAATGTTTTAAATTTCAATTTAGTAAACGACAAAAACGTAAAGATAAAATTATATCTAAATAACCAAACAATATTTTTTTTTAAACATACATAGTTATAGTTTAGTGCAGGTACATATTTAATTATCTGAAATTCACTATCTCGCAATTCTATTGGCTAGACGTAAGTATAAATTAGTGCAGTAGGTAGTCTTATAAAATTATATATTATTAAAAATTTGCTTAAGCACATAACAAAATATATGTTAATGGGTTTTTAATTAATATCTTAAGAAAAAAAATATGATAACTTGACCGTTTGCTTGTAATTTATTCGTATACACGATATTGTGGTTTGAATATAATACGCTGCTGCAGGTACGGTACAATGTTAAATGTTTTCCTGTTGGATAGAAGCAAATAATTATCTATCGAATCATATGTTTTTCACAAGTAATAATTATATGTATATAATATGTGTATTACATTACTACACGACCAGCCAACGCTTTATTATGGATCAGATAAAAAAACACATGCACAACTGTTAAATCGATGTCTTGTAATTTATTGAGTGCTGTTAGCTGAGGAATCGTTTGTCGTGATTAATTTTGCATTATCGGATGTTTTTAAATTACACACGAGCACAATGAATGAAACCGGAATAATGACACAATGTTGATTGTACAGCGGAATGGCCATTGGGATACGCGTAATTTAACATTTACTGTCGTCCATGGTGTGTAACAATTATTTTTCCAATCTATCCGTCGTTTAGGCTTAGCTGTGACTGTTTGATATGCTTAACGTTTATAAACGAATTATACCTAACAAGAGCACCCAATTATTATAAAAACAAGGGGAGGGGGGTCGAAAGTCATAAAATAGGCAAAATCAAAAAACTAAGAACCCCCGACGAAATTGATTTTATTAAACAATATAACCCATATGACAGATATATACGACATTTCAAATAAACAATGTATCTATGGAGCATTATTATCAGTAAAAAATAGTTCATTATTGACAACTAAAAAAATGGCTATCATTTGTCTAGAGTAGGTATAACGCATATCACCACTATTTACAACCACTATAGTGTGCGCCTTTGAATCTTGATACCTACCTAACGATTGAATAATATTAGAATAATAGGTCGGAAAAAAGTAAAAACGATATAGTTATCCGTCGTTAATCTGCAATAGATATCTATAACGTTGAACGAGACCATTTCTGTTGCAAAAACGCAAATACCTACTATCCCCAATTACCAAGTTACAGACACCGGTATAGTGTGTGTAGACAAATTTCGCCGCTACCTAGCTATGTCTTGAAAGAATGATATACACTATTTAGGCGTATAACTACAATAAATTGACAATGTAGACACTATAATATAATGGATGTGCCTATCGATTTTATTGATCAAAACTACGATTTTCGGTCATATTTTTATACCTAGTTCATTTTCACAAGGTTTTTCTTTTTATAACGCTTTTTGACAGGTAAGCATAATACGGTCATTGTCAGATAAATTGGAGCAGCGTAATAGCAGAAAACAAAAGGGTTTTCCGTACCTATTTGTTATTACCGAACAAAAAATAATGGCGTTAACTACTAGTAAACATCCATCTATAATATTGCATTCCATGGTATCACATTACTTAATTAAATAATTAATATTGTCACTGTCAGCAGAGGTAATATATTTTATATGTATTTATGATTAACAGCTTGGTGGTGCACGCCGCGTGGTTGAAAGTCGAAGGTACACACCGTGACTAGTTTTGGCTACACCTATCGAAAAACGTTGCTGCCGCCGTGCCAATTTATTCATATGCCAATAAGCATAACTGTGATAAAAGTGTATTTTGTGTTTTATGCTTTATAAGTGTTTAAATTAGCATTAAACGATTTTTTTTTTGTTTAAAACCCGTACAATTAAATATCTAGCACAATTATTTGACTTACGTATTGCCATTAATTTATTGTTCGACTACCTATATTATTATACATAATTATTATGTAGCACTTAGATAGTTGAATTATATATCATAGTAATGTATATTAAATATTTAAATGATACTGGACTAATAGTTTATATTATATGTATATACCTCTAAAGTTGTAGTATATAGGTTATAGTTTAAGTCTATCGACATATGGTGCGTGTAGGATTTAATTGACATAACAATAATATGTATATTAATTGTATTAAATGTATACAACTGTATAAGTGCACTCGCATATTATAAACAATTAAGATTTATTTGTAACTATTGATAGTGGCATGTTGGTGTATGAGTGTTATTATAAAGGCAATAAACATTATATATGATACAAAAAAAGCAATGGACTTTTATTAATATTAATACTTACTGCGTTTGGACAAGTTCCGGGCTCCATGCATTTCTGAATAACACAACAATTCTGTTTGACAGCTATGAATTTAGGTTAGGATATAAGGTAAATTAGTATTTAAGGATTTACATAGGTTCAAAGGAAAATAACTTTTAATTTCTAAAATAATTACATAAATCATTTATTATGTATGCAACTTACGAATTAGTATTATAGGAGTTTTTTCTCTAACAAACAGCAAATATATAACATAATATGAATATACTTTATTATGTACACGTTTTACAGTACGATTAGACGAAGACGGGCGGTTACTGTGCCGTAGTAATGACGAATTTTTAATAACATATTATAATTATAAATGTATGACATATAATGCGTAATGTAATTTAGCGAGTAGAGTAATATTATAAATCACGTAGAAAAAATAATAGCAATAATAATTAAAATAATATACCATAAATAGTACGAACGAGAGGGATCGGGTTATACATATGTATAAATTATATATATACATGAACGGAGGGACACGATTAGGCCACTCTGTAGGTATTTATACATCGACGAACTAAAGAAATGAATAAAATTATATGCTTAACTTTCGCAAGCGTATAATAATAACGTTTTCGCGTATCCGGCTCATGATGCCTATTAAATGATGCATAATTAAAAACTTAACACCGCCGTTTGCGGAGCGGTGGGGTGGTGGGGAGGGGTTCGCTTTTTTTCTAGAAAATGTATTTATTTTTTTATTTTTCGTAGATAAAATGAGATCAGCGGTCACAGTCGTCCGCGGCCGCGTCGTTGTCGCGACCGTGCGCGATGGCTGTCTGCAGTTCGGTGGTCGTGGCGTACGCCAGCTGGACAGCGGCGGACACGGGTGACAGGTTGTGCGTGAGGCTGTGCCGGCGTAGATCGCAGTTCCGGCGGAACACTTTGCTGCACGTCGGACAGTTGTACGGTTTGATGTCCGTGTGCGTCAACAGGTGCGTCTTCAGATTGGACCGCTGGTTGAAGCTCCGGCTGCACACCGGACACTTGTGCGGCGACTCCTCGAGGTGGAGGATCTTGTGCACGGCCAACGTGCGTGACTGGCAGAATCCCTTGCCGCACTCCAGACACTTGAACGGTTTCTCCTTGGAGTGAATGTACCTGAGAACGCGAAAAACACAATCGGTGATCGATATAAATACATAATAATTTATAAAATATAACATTGTAATCATAACAATTTATGTAACAGTGAGTATAATATGTATTGTGATGTGTGCGCCGAGATAGGGACTTATATTACATAATATACGATTTGTCGATACGGGTTAGTATACCTATAGCTCCGATATTACGCGCATGCCCTTAAAGTATTGGATATATTTCTATATTATTATACAGAGTGATTCTTTATAAGTATATGCTCATCCTATTTATATGCTTCAATTATGCACAACTATATATTTAAATTTTGATTTTTGGAATTTTTAAATACACTCGAAGACCAATTTTTGTATATTTGAAATTTTTTGTACCACAAAATAATGAATCTGTGACAATACAAACTTCTGTTTTTTTTTTTAAATTTTTAATCAATTCTTGAGAATGTTTATGTATCTAAATCAAAATTTGAACGAGTAGTTTTTGTGTTATAAATTTTGTGTAATAAGGACAATATAATCATTATGTCTGTGGTAATGGGTTGTATGTTTGTTAATACAATGTCTTTATGTATATGCGCATCGGTCATCTTTTTTATTTGTATTTATATAAATAAACATATACTATATATAGGTTTTACGAATTTATCCAATTCTCTTTTTTTCGCCTGCCTTGTTCTTTTCATAGTTAATTATTTACACGTAAAATTTTATAGTCTATTCACACTATTTTTTTAAATTAACGGAATAAAACGTGAACTGCTGAGCGTAAATTTGCTATATATTATGCGTTTTTGAGACTGAAACAGCAAATACGGGTGTTGCGACCTCTTTAACACAAGATCCGTGTTGTGTCATTGTAAATTGTACCCCATTGCGGCCTTATTAGTACTGCAGTTATGACGATATTATTACCCATTATTTTATGATTGAACATAGATAGGTTAGGTAATTGATAATTATTGTTGTGTCATAGCAAATCTGAAAAACAAATAACTAATTTTCAAATATTTTTGTCAATTAATTTATTAATCTACGTCATCTAAATGTTACGTGTAGGTGGTTTAGAACAACCGTATACTCAGACACTGTCGGAGCAAACAATGTTTAAATTTAGCATGGTACTTATATAAATATTACATAAATAGTTGAATACTATATAATATATATATATGTCTAATGTATATCGAAATTACTTCGTGGGATGATCTTGGATCAGAGTCGTTCTGCAAAGTATAAGATACCTGTATAGACATTAGACGATATGGAAAATACTTTGACGCCTACTAAATAATCGTGAAAACATTTTGTGTATAGGAATGTCTAACATGGGTTTATTGGTGTAGAATCTACACTGTAGATTGTGTAGGTCATAGGTGCAGAGTGATTTAATATTTTTAAACAAAAATACCTTTAAACACAAAACCACTGAAAAAAAATTAAAATATTATGTCAAAACAACGCGCGTGGAATAGAATATTATAATATTACTGCAGGTAGGTAGGTAATTAGTTTCGTCTGCAGCAGTATTAATTAGAATATTATATTATATTCGCACAGTTTAACGTCCACGACGCGGTTGCTCCGTGTGGTTTCAAAGGTGTAGGAAAGGTGCGGCATCATCACTGTATTGTTTATGTATAGGTTTGTGCGTGTGTGTGTGCGCGCGTCTATGAATTATTAATACCGGTATCTACACAGACTTCAAGGCGATCGAAGATCGCAATCACAAACATATTATTATTATTATTATTATTATTATCCGGCTGTATGTACACCAACGAGGCAATAGAATATTTTTTTGAATAAACCAACTCGATCGGTACATTATACATACATATAATACTCGTATATCTTGTACAGTGTTGCGGTATTTTTTTTTTTTTACCTTTGGTATAAATTCCGCATTTATATCGAATATTACCACGCAGTGTAGTACCATCTATAATAATTCCCATATTTCCTTCGAATTATTATTATTATTATGATTATCTTAACGGTTTTCTGTGCAATCAAACTAGTTTAACAGCTTTTTTCCTTTTCCTTTATGGGACCGCCAAAATAATGTTTAATTTAATTACATCGTTTTTAATTATTCATTTTTATAACGTTTGCGTTCAAAAAAACGCTTTCAAAATGGTTTGAAAATCGTATTTTTATCAAGAACACAAATCACGACTTAATGCCGCTTTTTTCTTTATATTAAGCTACTAAACATTTTTCCATCGCAAGGAAAATTGAGGTATCATAGATAAGTTTTATGGGTGATTATGCAGTGGAAAAATATCTGGTAGCAAAAATAATTAATAAATGTATAGTATAAATTTATTCAGCGATAAACAAAACTTTACGAAAAATTGGTTGGATTGTATCCAAGCTAAAAACATACCTGTGCTAATTAGTGTATACTGTTACCCATAAATTAAAAACACAATGGCATATTGGCATGTAGAACAATCAGATGAAGTAGGTATTCAACGATCAATATAGGCTATTAGTTATACATTCAAGTATTCGTGTAGCTACGATTTATAGTAAGTTGTAATCACCATACAGTTGTTCAATAATTGTTAATACATTTCGTGATTTTTAACATACGTACAACTGCTTAATTCGAAAAATAATTCATATTAAAAAGGTTGTTTGGCCAAGTGGCATTACTAATGTGGGCGATAATATAATTTTATAAATATTGTGAAATATTGCATTGTTGGTAGTTGTCAGTTGTCATCTAAAAAAATATTCGAACCGGTTCCACTTAAGTTTTATTTTTTATCTTCGGTAAACTAGTCTTGACAAATCCAGTCGCATGCGCTTGTAACGCATTTATAATTTATAACACATCTCTGTTTCTCCAACACCTTGTCAGAAACACTCTTCACCTCGACTTTTTATCAACCCAAGACACTGTTAAAAATTATTATTCCAGACGAATAACGATAGTCCACGACTTTGACTCGTGTTTTCTCGTTACTTTGTGTGCATTATTTTGTGCCGTTTATTCATCTGTCGACGATGGATTTTCATAAAAATACGTTTACGAACGTTTTACCGGGACGTTAATCATTTGTTATTGTTATTATTACAATGGCTGACCACAGTTTTGCACTTGATTTACAATTTTCGCGATCTCTAATTATTATTATCATCRTTCGTGACGTGTTTAATGTTTATAACCGCGCATATATTRTGTATATAATACAAGGAGGCCAATTTAAGTGGCGTTCGTTGGGAAACCAAATGGATTTTTAACGACTGGACAGTTTATATACGTATGTATATGTATATCGAGACGACCGATATTATACTGTCTGCAATAAACAATGTTAAAAAAGTATTGCTAACTGACCGATGGTGGTGGGTGTTCATCGTGTAGAATGTATTTATTTTTTTTACCAATAGTTTGGAGACAAGATGTTTTATTAAAGTATTTTTTCGTAAAAATATATAATTTCTCTTTTGATCTGGACTTTTTTGTTTGTTTTTGAAATGTTATTATTCTCGTGCCAATTATATTATTATTTTAAATATTGTAGTGTATGAATAGCATCGGTTGACGGTGCACCAAATCGATCGCGCTCGTTGTTCTTACGCCGTGTCCTACGTGGAACGAATATTCTATTCTGATCATGCTGTTCCGGCGCAGTGCGATGCGTCCGATGCTGTGACATACAAGCGGTTTTGTTTTTCACCGCATTTCGGTGGAACAGTATGGTCAGAATAGAATTCGTTCGCATTCGCCGGTTTCACGCAGGGCACGAAATTACGCGCATGACACAACGTTACTCCATGGCGGAACAATATTTCTATAAACAATRTGTGTAYAATATTATAATAATATAACAATTTTGTTATGTGTACAATATTATAACAATATCATATCAATATTATAACAATAATATTATATAAGACGTACAATATTATTACGTGAACAATATTGCGTTTGGAACGGTCCGTGAAGATATCGTTTCTAAAAATCCCATTGTGCTCCGGCCGGTCAAAAGCCACAGAATAATAATAATAATAATATACAAAGCGCACTTTTATTGTGCAATCGGTTTTTAATGGACTGCAGCGGCGTCGGCGACGGCACACGACACGCACACAATAACATAATGAAGCCATTAAAAGGTATATATACTATAACATGCAGTCGCGGTCTCGTCGCGTAGGGGTGTATACCGACAACTATAATATGTACTAAACTTCTCTTCATGCCGCCCCGTGTTCGGTGGATATAGGTTCTCTCCTCCGGTGTATAATAATAATAATAATAATAATAATAACAATAATAATATTATGTACCTACGCGCGCAGCACTTGACCTTTTCATTCCCACGACGGACGCGCGGGGACACGTTGAAGGTGATAAATGGACTTGGATTACATATTATTATTATTAAATATATTATTATACAAAAGCGGCCTGCAAGTCATATTACTCACGTCGTCACAAACCATTGTTACACGCAAACGCACACACATACACATTCATATTATACGTTAAATAATAGTAGACAGCTGATATTTTTATATTATGTATACTTTACTATACTATTAAGCATACAAGTACAATTATTATCCGTATGTGTGTATCGTGATAGTAGACGTGACGACGGGGCACACGGGATTGTATATTAAATAGAAATAGAATAAATTCGGACATTTATATACGATCGCGACCACCACAACGCCCGACAGGTTATGATGGAAACGACGGAGCTGTATGCGATATGTTTTATGCGATTGTTTCGCAGCCCGGAGATGAGATGTACTATAAGGTATGCCAAAGGTATTTTTCGCATAACATTTTTATTACCATTGTGATCGTGGCAGACATCCAAATGTGCGGCGCGCGAGGAGTAAAAAAAGGATAATATAATATTATAATAAAAACCTAGCACACACGATTAAGTTTTTATTTTTTCAACTTCTCTCTCTCTCTCTCTCTCTCTCTCTCTGTCCTCTCTGTCCTCTCTGTACCGCACTCTCCCCGGGCAT